CTTGCTTGATTAATTTATCAATATATTCTATTACAGAATTATTTTTCAAGGTTAATTTTCTTGTTGAAGAAAAAATTATTAAAAGGATGTGTTTGCATGAGAAATGAGTTGCAACATTTATTTTTCTCTAGAATTGTTTGTTTTTGAATGATATGTGGCGATTTAATAGATGCTGGAATAGAAAATGGGACAAAAAATCATTTGCGTCAGTAGTATATGGACATTAAAAAAAAAAGAAATAGGAAAGAAAAAAATGGTAGGGGGAGTGTGAATTAAAAAAAAAAAAATTGGGCGTCATTAACATTCTCCAACAAAAATATCACGTGCTATGATTTTGGATTATTGGGCCAAATTCTAGAATAAGACTTTTCTTTTTTGGATCAATTTGTTAAAAGACATCTTGTGTGACATTTTGGATCAATTTGGAAGAAGTTTGGGTCGGCGTCACGTAGTCCATGGACCGCTCTGCTACTTTAGGAGCCACAAGGTTTTAAATCCAATCCATGTTTCTTTTTAATTGCCCCACTGCCCCGTGCTTTCCCCTAAGATATAACATGTACTTAAAAAAAAAAAGGAAAAACAAAATTTACAAGTACTATTTGCAAGATTTGAACTATTTTGAGAAAAACTTGTGAAATGATAAATTAACCAGAAATCAAGCTTTAATAACTTGTGAGTTGTGACCATACTAACTAATTAAGTCTAGGTTTGACCAAAGGAAACTAATTAAATCCATAGCATTGATGAATATTTGAAAAATGGGAGCTTCCAGTTAAAAATCGGAGCCTCGATGAGTCTAATCTAATTTCCACTTTATTACAAGTAAACAATAATAGATTATGAATATTTGAAAAATAGAAGTAATTTCATAATTCTTGCACAACTATGTTTGCACTCAATTTTAAAAATCATTTATTTAAAACAGTCTGTCCAGGGCACCCATTAAAATATATTTCAAGAGCTACATTTTTGGAAATATAAGATTAATTAGGGAAAGTAAATAAATGTAAGGAAGGGTAGTCAAGATTAAATAAGAAAAATATATAAATACAAACTCGGATAATAATTATTAGTATATGTATATATATGGTAAGTTAGATGAATGATAGGTGTGTGTGTTAACGAGTGCTCTTAGAGCACTCGCTAGAAAAACCCTATATAAAATATTTCTACCCTTTTTGGAATTTTATAAATACTACTACACTCAAGGTCATGTGGGCAGGGAAAAAGGGATGTGATTGCTTTAAAGGTCTAAGAAGGGTACTTTTGAAATCTCATTTTCTGGCATTGTAAACCGTGAACTGCCAGTCTTCTTTTCATTATAGTGAAATCATCTTAGATACTAGAATTTATATATTGTGAGACTTTCCTATATATTAAAACTTAAATGAGAAAAAAAAAATGCATTCCAATATTTCATACAATTATGATTAGATTCTTCGTTTCCACCCGAAACTAATCCACAAAACAAAACTTCATGTTGCTTCTATTACACAAACTAGTATGTTGGACAACTTGTGCAAAATCATTTTCTGCTAAAGCACCTTTATATCACATGTTGAATGTGTACATCTTTAAGTTTGTCACGTACGTCCTGCCAAAATCTCCCCACCTTCCTTCCTAATATTGCTTATAAACCAGCATCACATGCATAACAAACATAACTAATCCCAATCAATAATCAAACACAAATCCCTGTTAATTTCCTTCTTCTTCTCATCAATGGATCTTCAACCATGTCTAGAACAGCAACAACAATCCCATGCAAATGATTCAACACCAAATGGAAAACCATATTGTAATTCAATACAACATCCGGTGCACAAAACCTTAGCCACAGCCGCCAATCTTGCAAACCTTCTGCCAACAGGAACAGTCCTAGCATTTCGAACTCTCACCCCTTCATTTTCCAACAAAGGAAGATGCCAACCTTCCAACAAGTATCTCACTGCATTTCTTATCGGATTCTGCACGGTTATCTGCTTTTTTTCCTCATTTACTGATAGCTTCTTTGATAAACATGACGGGAAGTTGTACTATGGGATTGCAACTTTCAAGGGCTTGTACGTTTTCAACAATGAATGTCGTGATCATGATGAGAAATCAGAGGGAGAAGACATGAAGGAATTGTCTAAGTACAGAATTCGTTGGATAGACTTTGTCCATGCATTTGTGTCACTTCTTGTTTTCTTGATCTTTGCTCTGAGTGATACTGACGTTCAAAATTGTTTCTTTCCGGAAGCAGGATCAAATATGGATGCTTTGTTCATGAATTTGCCTTTGGGAGCTGCGATTTTCTCAAGCTTTTTGTTCACTATCTTTCCTACAATTCGTAGAGGTATTGGATATGCTGATTTGCCTACCCGTGCAAAATAAGAAAGTTTCCATCCAATTAGTCACTATCCTCTTTGTAAGTGTATAATTTACAGAAAGAATTCCAGGGCTTGTTTATTATTAGTCGCAACAATATATAACGTTGATGTATATACGTAATAAACTCACAAATTGTGAAACTTGAATCCAAGAGCTCTAAATCTTATTGTTAGTACTAAGTGATCTTTTACCATTTTTTTTTTTTAAAAAAAAGGGATCTAGCTCATGTGTGTTTTTGCAGAACTAAAGCAGAAATTGAGGAAGAAGAAAAGAAGAGATGTTAGTTTTATTGTGTAAAAGGATTGATTTGAAGAAAAACAAATTTCAACGATGACACATGAAAAGGAGTTTTGCCCACTTCGATTTAATGTACGAGTTTTTTTTTCCAAAGACATGACCAATGATGACAAAAGACAGGAAAGTGGAAACAAATGAGTTCGGTTTTGATTATTTCATGGAGGCTAGCTGGTCCTAGTTTGTTAAGAAAAGTATGGATGAAGTGCATGAGATTCTTTAAAAATTCTTACGTTTTATTAACTCACGAGCATGGAAAATTATCATGATTGATAAGAATGGAGACGGGCAGGGACGGTTATCAGAAGAATCATCCCTGAACAGTTTACCGTCAGGATTTGGCCCAAAAAAAATTATACTTCCAGATCATTTCTTGTACCTCGTTTTTAACAACGTGTGTAGGGTCCACAAAATTATTCTAAGGTTACAGGTTGTGCAAACAAAGTTACGCTGTGTGCAAACAAACTTACGCGATGTGCAAAATGCACAAAATCGCTAAGAACGGTTTGCAACCGTTCCTACCCGTGGTCCGATAAGTACAAGTATTTTATGAAAAAGGACTAATTACAAATTTACAATTAATCCTCTAAAATATATACTACTGATACTCACTTTACACCTTAACTTTCTTTCTTTGTATCACTTAATTCTTTGTAAGACAAAAGTATCCCTCTCTCTCTCTCTCTATGTATGAATTGAATCAGAAAACTGTTTTGGAGCTTTGAGAGTTCAAATAAAATGTGTATCTTCATTTTGCAACAGCTGAGAACCAAAATTAAAATAATTTTAACTGCTATGTGATCACAAAAAATTGTGAATCTCCTTTGCTTTTCATTTTCTAAAAACAAAATAACTTGGACTCGGTCTCTGGAGATGAACCTTTAGGTGCGAAGAGGAAGGAGTAGAAAAGGAAGAAGAAAGAGAAAAAGAAAATAGAAAAGAAAAACAAAAGGGAAAGGAAAAAAAAGAAATAAAAAATTATAAAATCCAAACGATAAATGGGATAGTTTTGTCTCAGAGGGGATTTAAGTGACAAAAAATTAAGAAAAACAATTAAGAAATAAATTGAGAATCAGGATATATCTTCTAACGAACCCTCTAAAAAATAACTAGAACGTTGCAAGATAGGGTGAAATGAAAAAAAAAAATAGATTTTTGTACTTAACAATGAGTTTTGTTTTTTTCTGAGATAATTTGTCAGGTCAATGTCGCAACCTTTGTCACGAACGGCCATAGCACGACGTTGATACAGTCGGACGATGAGACAATGTAGCCATGTGCTCCCTTTTTTACTCTGATACAGTCAAAACGATGAGACAAGTTTTTCAGCTTCAACTTTGGAATCGGAACGTGTAAAACATGGCAACAGGAGGAATCACTGTCATGAAAGTTGCCTACACAATTAATCCAAAATTGTGGAAGCAATTTCATGAGGATATCCAAATTGATTCAAATGCTTCCTAAGAATTTGTCTAGAAAAGGAAGAAAGAAAAAAAAATTCCCATTCGGATTGCTATTTTCTGGAATTGAGGATGAGGAGCTACTGCCTTCCGCACCCCCAAGGGAATTTATTGCTATAAAGTAATGCCGTTTGGCTTGAAAACGCTGGAGCGACATATCAAAGGGCAATGCAAAGAATTTTGATGATATGCTCCATAAGAATGTGGAGTGCTACGTCGATGACCTTGTGGTGAAATCAAAGAAGCGAGAGGATCATATTCAAGACCTTCGAAGAGTTTTCAACGCCTTCGAGATACCAATGAAGATGAATCCTTTGAAGTGCGCATTCGGAGTCACTTCTGGCAAATTTCTCGGTTTCATCGTTCATCAACGGGGAATAGAAGTCGATCGATCTAAAATTGATGCCATTGTGAACATGCCTGAACCGCGAAATATTCATGAATTGAAGAGTTCAAGGGAAGTTGGCATATATCCGGAGGTTTATCTCTAATTTGGCCGGGCGATGCCAACCCTTCAGTCGACTGATGAAGAAAGGGGTACCCTTCGAGTGGGATGAATCGTGTAGGAATGCTTTTACAAGCATCAAAACGTATCTCATGAATCCCCAGTTTGGCTGCACCCATCCAGGAAAACCATTGATTCTTATATTTCCGCTCAAGAACGGTCGGTTGGGGCCTTACTTGCTCAAGAAAATGATGAAGGTAAGGAGAATGCGCTGTATTACTTGAGTCGGATGATGACACCTAATGAGTTGAATTACTCACCCATCGAGAAGTTGTGTTTGGCACTTATATTTGTCATTCAGAAGTTAAAATTATTTTCAAGCACACACTATTCGACTCATATCTAAGTCTAATCCCATTAAATATGTGATGGCAAAACCTGTACTGTCTGATCGGCTCGCGAGATGGTACCTCCAGTTTCAACAATTTGAAATTATTTACGTACCTGCGAAGGCTGTCAAAGGACAAATATTGGCAGACTTTTTAGCCGATCATCCCCTACCTGCCGAGTGGGAGTTGACTGATGAACTTCCCGATGAAGAAGTGTTTATGGTCGAATTGCCGTGGTCAATGTATTTCGATGGAGCTGCCCACCGTGATGGAGCTGGTGCGGGAGTTGTCTTTTATACTCCTGAAGCAGATATATTGCCATACTCTTTCACTTTAACACGCCGGTGTTCCAACAATGTGGCTGAATATCAGGCGTTGATTCTCGGTCTTGAAACGGCTGTAGACATGAAGCAGTTGCATCTTAGAGTCTACGGTGATTCAAAATTGGTGGTAAATCAACTCCTTGGTGTTTATGATGTCAAGAAACCTGAATTGATCCCATATTACAAGTATGCAAGGCAACTCATGGGATATTTAGGTAATGTCACTATAGAACATATCCCTAGAAATTTCAACCAACAAGCTGATTCTTTGGCAAGGGTGGCGTCCATGATCACTCTACCTTCTCATCGAAATCAGATTTCAATATGTCAAAATTGGGTCATACCTCCGATGTTTGATGAAGGTAATGATAGTGAAGAAGAAAATACTTATCATATTTTTGTCCATGAGATCGAAAAGGAGGATTGGCGTCACCTCATCATTGATTATCTTAATCATGGAAAGTTACCAGAAGATCCTAAGAAAAGGGTTGATATACGTCGTCGAGCACCACGTTTCATTTACTACAAAGGGACGCTTTACCGAAGGTCATTCGATGGGGTGTTTCTACGATGTCTTGGAGAAGATGAGGCCATGCAAGCAATGGAGGAGGCTCACTCTGGGATATGCGGTGCTCACCAGTCTGGCCCGAAATTACACTTTCGTATTAAAAGAATGGGATACTACTGGCCAACAATGGTAAAGGATTGCATTGACTTTGCTAGAAGATGTCAAGCATGTCAATTTCATGGCAATTTCATCCATCAGCCCCTGAACCATTGCACCCAACTGTGGCTTCTTGGCCGTTCGATGCTTGGGGTTTGGATATAGTTGGACCACTTCCAAAGTCTTCTGGCGGACATGTTTTTATTTTGGCGGCGACGGATTACTTTTCAAAGTGGGCTGAAGCGATTCCTCTAAGAGAGGTCAAAAAGGAGAATGTAGTGGATTTCATTCGCTTGCACATCATTTATCGGTATGGAGTCCCGCGTTATATCATTACCGATAATGGTAAGCCTTTTTGCAATGTAGCAATGAACAAACTTTGCGAGAAGTTTCATTTCAAACAATACAATTCGTCCATGTACTACGCTGCTGCAAATGGACTCGCTGAAGCATTCAACAAGACCTTATGTAATCTGTTGAAGAAAGTCGTGAATAAATCGAGAAGGGATTGGCATCTTCGAATTGGAGAAGCACTTTGGGCATACCGAACTACTTTTCGAACTCCCACGCAAGCGACCCCATACGCGCTTGTTTATGGTGTTGAAGCTGTTCTTCCACTTGAGTGTCAAATACCTTCGCTAAGAATTGCGATTCAAGAAGGGCTCAGTGGAGAAGATAATGTCGTCTTCGCCTTGAGGAGTTAGAAGCACTCGACGAAAAGAGATTGGAAACCAGCAACGGATTGAGTGTTATCAGGCCCGCCTTTCAAAAGCATTCAATAAGCATGTCCGGCCACGCTCTTTCAAATTGGAGATTTAGTACTCGCTGTTCGGAGACCGATCATTCTCACTCATGGCGGACAAAGAAAGTTTACTTAAGTGGGATGGTCCATATGTCGTTCGAGAAGTATATACAAATGGCTCATACAAGTTGGTTGCTGAAGATGGATTAAGGGTTGGCCCCATCAATGGCAAGTACCTAAAAAGGTACTATGCGTAATCGAACCGCGAGAGCTCCTGGCCCGCATGAGCTAAAACTGTGGATGGCAACCACCAATAGTGTAGTATGTGGTTAAACTGCTGAAACACTCCACCAAGTCTAAGGTGGTAAACAAATAGATACTCCTGGCCCGCATGAGGTTAAAATGTGAACGGCAGGAACTACGTGTGACTTGATTCCCTTGTTGGGATACGTAGGCAGCTTGGAGGGCAACTTCTAAGTTCAGTTACACCACTCCAAATCAAATCCTTGTCCCTTGTAAAAAAAAAAAAATTTTCTCTTTCCAAAAAAAATAAAAAAAATAATAATAATAATAAAATGCTCCATTTGAGTTCTTTTCTCTTAAAAAAAAAAGAGATAAGAAATGAAAAGCGTTTTATTATTAAAAAAAAAAATCATTACATGAAAAAATGAGTGATTCAAGGAAAAGAAGAACATGGTGGAAAGCTAAATATCAAATTTGTATTCCACTACAGCTACTTTATATGATTCAAGTGCAGACTTCATGTCCTCAAGTTCCTTCACAGCATCATCAGTCAAGATGCTAGTATTTCAATGGAAGATAGCTCATCATGCGCTTGGGTTATTTCGGCTGGATCTCTTTGAAATCTCATGCTTTTGATCGATAGTTGAGGTGATTTCCAAGTTTGCTTCTCCAAACTGATGAGTTCCTGTTGCAGAACCTTCTTCCTGGCTTCAATGGATTGCAACTCTTCTTCAAACTTTGCAAATGACAAGTTAGTCTTCTCCCTTTGCCTTAACTTTCTCGAGTTGGACGGTCGCTTTGGAAAGGAGTTCTGCATGTGTTTCTTTGCTCATCCTTTCCCACGATGAAGATGCTAGAACATCATAAGCCTCCGCCTTGGCAAACAATTCCATCAAGTGGTCTTTTAAAGGGAGACCATTGGCGGGATCCGTTCTTGTGATTTCTACAATGATTTCCTCTGCACACTCTTTTAAAGAAGAGATCTGCTCAATTGGAGTGTCAAGAATCTGTCCGCGGAAATCCATCCACAAACTCTGCAAGTACTTTCTTCGATGTGCCTGGATCAACTTTTGGCCATGAAATTCTGAAACCAATGCTACCTTAGGTTTTTCGAATTTCGTGTGAACTAGTCAGCTCCTTCTTATGCATTGACGAAGTACCTCCACTGGGGGCAAATTGTCTTGGAGTACTGATAGCTACTTCGTCACTCTTGTTGTTTGAGATTATCATCAGTTTCGAGTTCGGGTGATGAATTGTTACCAACACCTTCTTGACGGAATTCAAGAAACGGGGGCTGAAAAGGAAAAAGTTAAAAAAAAAATTTTAAAAAAGGAAAAAGATGGAGAGATGATTACCTTAAGTGGCGACACTCCAACCGAACGGTGGTGTAAAGGAAATCTCCTCCAAATCAGAAGATGTCCTCTTTCGATCGGTTCCAATGACGATCTTGACTACTACTACCGCTCGCCAATGAATGGACCCCTTCTTGGGTAGATCCGATGTCCTGAACTTGAGTTCCTTCCTTTTCTATAGCCTCGATAGAATCACGATCGTCCACCGTTTCAATTTCGATATCTTTTCAGTACGAGTTGCCGATAAGGATTTCGAAACTTTGGGCGGCGTCTTTTCGCTGGAACCGCTGGTTGCGCCTCTTTGATGGCCTGCCGAGAGTCCTTGGAAGACTTATTTTTTGTAGCAATATTTTTCGAGGGACTGCTAGTAATTTTGTTCTTTCGCAGGTGGATGAGGCAAGACCCGTTACAATCTCTATAGCTCCATTATGATGCTGACTCGTTAGCGGAGGTAATCTTACCCTTCTTCGATGATTGCTGAGGGATCTTAACGGTGAATTTAAAGGAAGTTGAAGAGACACTATTTGACCGAGTCGACCACCAGGCGTCATAGTCTTTTGTGATCAATGGATGCTTCCTATGCGCTGGTATAGTCATCCGAGATCGCGTCTGTGTGCGAACTGAAGAATCCCATAGTTGAATAGCCTCGCCCAAAGTGTAAGTATGAGTGATTTCTTTCAAGTTGTTGGGAATGTCTTGACAAAAGCCGAATTGTCTGCTAAACCTGCAAGGATTATATTTTTCAATAATAAAAGTATTGTCCTTACGTAGAGTTAAATGGCAAGAGCGTTGACTAATGAAATAGCTCGTGAGTCTTGATGATAAGGATCCGTCATCGATCAACGCCTTTTCTTCATTCTCAGTCCAGCACAATTTAGGGAGCATCAAAGGATTCACTTCTTTGAAAATTTCCTCATCTTCCAATTGACCATAAAATATTGTCATTTTCTTACCACTAAATCTCGTCATGCGCGCGTGGTGGCTACTCACTTGATTATTCTCGTGATATACGTCAAAGTATTGGCCAATCCAAGCATAGACGTAATGGATTGGAAAAGCTACCCCGCATTCTCCAAGGTTAGGGGCGTAGACGATCTCCCTCAACCCATGATATATGCTCGCAAGGACGGGAATTGCAAGACAAAATCTTTTCCCTGTAGCCATTAAGCATGCAACTTTAAAGACACTTGGGCGAATGCGATCGATCTTTTTGCTTGGCAAAAGAAACTTGCAAATCCAGCACGCTATGAATGCCGCAATATAGGTTTCCTTTCTTAAATATCCTGGAATGTCCAGTGTGTCGAAAGGGACGTTGAAGTCCTTCGTATCAGCAAGGTCGTAAGTCTCCACGCTTCCAGAAGGGTTGTAAGTCATTTTTGGTTTAGATGTGGTTTTCCTTCTATTCGCTCTACTCGGAGGAGCACTATACCTAGTCTCTCCTTTGAACCAGAAGCGAATCCAGTCTTTCATCCATACCCCTTGGTCGTTCGTCCAAAGGTGGTAGTAGGCAGAAAAGAGGTGCCTGCAGCTCTCGGGGAAAGTGGCTTCCCTTCTTTGTCACGAGTGAGGAGCTCCCGCGCGAAGGAACAACTTCATCGAAAAACGCGCCGTCAATCGAAAGGCCACCAAGTCGATAAAGGTCCCAAAGTGTGATGGACAACTCCCCAAAGGGCGTATGGAGCGTGTTCGTCGAGGGACACCAATATTTGAAGAAGGCCCGCAAGATATTTTCACAGCGATCGTAGGAGTATCTCGACGCGTAGACGGCTTCAAATATACCAGCACGTGTGAGTATGTCTTTATACCTTCCAAGCATGTCCTCAACCCACTCCCACTCATAATAATGGGAGGTGAAACACGCCTCACCGAAGAAGGACGAAGGGATTTTTCATGTAGCTTTGTCAACATTGAATCCCACGAACGGAAGTGTGAACTTGGCTATTTCCGGATCTCCATTATGAAGAGACGAGTTTAACACAACCACTTCTTCTTCTCTCGACGTAGTAGAGAAAGTCGACGGCGCCACCACTTCCTTAGTCCACTTGCTAGTCCAATTGTCAAGATGAAAGCATCCTTCGAGGGATATGAAGGATTCAGCGAGCGGGCCAATTGCGGGTTTGTAAACATGTAGTGACAAGCTTTTTGACTGCGTGCCTCCCCGTTCATCTGTCAGCGAAATATGTGACAGTGGCACGGCGTAGTCCTTAATTTGCATGGTTACTGGAATTTTGAAAAAAAGGCACGAGGTGGGCTATCTACGGGAGGACAAGTTAGTAAAATTGAAATATTGACATGAGGTGGGGTAAAAAAAAAAGACAAAAAAAAAAAAAAAGCAAAGCAAAAAAAAAAAACAATTGAGGTCGGAGTTCTAGAAAAAAAAAAGAAAAAAAAGGAAAAAAAAAGATATTTCTTGTTCAAATATCATATTGGGTATTGTCCTAATAGATAAAAAAAGAAAGAAAAGACAAAAAAAAAAAAACAAAGCAAAGCAAAAAAAAAAAAAAAAACGAGGCAAACAAAAAAAAAGGGGGCAAACGAAAAAAAAAACAAACAAGCAAACAAAAAAAAACAGAAAAACAAAAAAAACAAAAACAGGGAAAAAAGAAACACTTAGCAATTAAACATTACGGACAGAAGAAAGGGAACTTCAAGTACCTGGTGAGCAAAAAGAAAAAAAATTGTTCAAACACTACCAATGGATGACAGTTGATGCTTGCGGCTCAGTGAAGATCTTAAGCGTTAGACGCTGTCAAGACAAATTAAAGCAAGTATGGGTACCGTCGATACAAGAAGGTATGAAGGTGTGTGAACGAGAATTAGAGCGACTACCTTCAAAGCTATAGTGGAAGAAGCAACCAGATCCTTCAAACGGCTTGCAACATTGACAACGAAAATGTTGTTTCCGAATCTATTGTTGCACAGACTACAAGGGTAAGCCGCGGTTCCATGCAAAGTAGTAGAACAAGAAACACAAGCAGGGTGGTACCATAGCTTGGAGGAGTAGTGCGTACCTTAAAAATAATCCTAGCGTAGCTCGGCACGTTCTGACCAACTCCAAATTGATTCTATTAGTTTAAGGGGCGGCAAGGCCAAGCAAACTAGCAAATTGTGAATGACGGCAGTAGCAAAAATAGGGGACGTAGCAGCGGCACCTCGTGACAACAATATTCGGGAATCAAAAGGGAAGAGAAATTTTTTTTTTTTCTTGAGCAAGTTCACGGCTTTGGACTTGGGGATTTATAGGACGAATCTCTACTACAAATCCGGAAGAAAGTTGAGTTTAAATACAACTAGCTTCCTGGTCCGCTTCAATCGTTTGAAGGATATCTTCAGGGGTCCTAGCAATTAAGTCGGCTGTATATTGGGAAGTGGATTCTACACTGGTTTCAGGGGGCTTGCTTCTAAAAAGGACCAGTTTATTATCCCATGCGATATAGCTTCCATTCATGTTGGCCTTGGAAGGAATTCTTGTCGCAACCAACCCCTATAAGCTGAGCAAGTCATGTCGGCATGGAAACTTGCGCAGCGGTGGAGTTCATGATTGATCAAAGAATAGGATGTTTGTCTCGCAATTGAAGTTGAAAACTCTAGGCAAACCAAAGAGTAATTTGCATGCAAGGTGCACCAGGACAAATGCTTACGAGGTAGAGTTCATGTATGGTTTCTGTTCGGGTATTGAAGGCTTGTTGCGGTCAGCTTCTTATTAAGTGATTTACCTCACGAGAGTAATCTCCGCAAAACTTCAGAACTCCAGAAGAGCTAAATCCTTTGATCCAAGGAGTCCTTAAGGTGAGTTTGAAGTTGATTAGAATCTGGCTTCGGGACCTTCCTGATTGGTCAATTGAGATTGGAATGTGCATGTCCCGTAGGCTTCTAGTGAATTTCAAATCCTAATGGATATGGTGTTTACCATCCGAAGCCGAAATTGGTTTACCGAAGTCTTTGGGATTGCGTTGGTGTTAGTGGAATTTGTGATAACATAGAGTTTTAAATCAATGTGGAGTTGGGCAAGTGAGCAAGCATGACTTGTTGTGTCGTGGGCTATGGTTGTGTTTCAACAAAGCCGTGGACTGGAGGTAGTTGCACGTTTGGGTCTTGGAAATTGAGATCACTAATTCACCAAGTTTTGTATGCATTTGATAACATAGCGGTGGAATTTATAATGTCTTGCATGACCACCTTATGTCAATGAAAGCATCTCCTTTAAAGTATCATTAGTCTATATTGGTCTATGAGGCACTTGATAATACCATGTCGTATGACTTTGCCGGTGGTTTAATAGACACGGCATTGCAAAGGCTTTGGATAAAGTCCATGAGTTGATATTTGAATTGCAAAACTTTGAGCAAAGCCATGACACTAAATGGACTTTGCTTGGATTGATATTCAAACGGTGGACATAAGGCTTCCAAATGGAGTGATCCGGCCTCGGGAAATTGAAGGCACTAGTGGTCTTGGAAATTGAGATCAATAAGGCATGAATTGGTGGTATTCCACGTAGCTATCCTATATGATGCAAGTCATTGATATAAAGTTTGCAAAGCTTGGAATTTAGCCCATTTAGGAGTTTTATTTGAAAGGCTAAAATATCAACGGTGTTCAAGTTGAAACAAAAAAAAATGTCAAAACTTGTCCGTTCAAAATTTGCTTCGGTCTTCAACATTCACGAACAAGTTTCGAGAGGGCATTTGTAGACAATGGAATTTTAATTAAATTCTAAAAATTACCATTGGTCTATAAAATATTTTTGTCCAATCGGATATTGCCATATGACACGTACACTTGGAAAAATTGGTTATTAAATGACCAATTATATTTTGCCACGTGTCAAGGCGAGGTGTTCCAGATCAATTCAAATTGCAGGGATATCTCCACCAATCAGATTATATCATGTCACATGTCCATTGGATAAATATCTAAATATTTATTCCGTATAAAAGGGATAATATTTAGAGTTATTTAATCCAAGTATATCTCTTATATACTGCAATAGCTTGGCCAGTCAAACGGCGCCATGTCACGTGTCCCACGAGTTTGGCCAATCGATAAATTTCTTATCTCTTTATTAATAAATATAAAATGAAGAGATAATATTTGACTGGTACAGTCCTAATATGACTGCACGTCTTGCAAGACAAGTAAAGTGGTACATAGGTTCTCAACCTCCACCTCTTGCTACACCTATAAATAGAGGTCTCTTAACCAAATCAAACACACAGACAGAGACACAGAGATATCAAGAAGCATCTCATACACTCAAGTATTGAAGCTTCAAGCTACGAAGGTCTGGGTCTCAAAGCTCCTCAAGTCTTCCGCATATCAAGGCTTGAGCCTTCAAGTATTTTCAAATCCTTCAAATCTTCCATATCAAGATTTGAAGGAGTCGGTGGTTGATCCAAGAACAAGCTGCGAAGCCCTTGGATTGGTGTTCGAGGAGAAGAATCGAAGGAAGCTCTCCATAAGTTCGAGAAACTTCCAGAGATTGTACCTACATATTTTTGCTAAGTTTATATAGTACATATTTGTCGTGTATTTCTTTTTCTTGTCGTTTTGCAGACTTGAAATTTTTATCGCGTACACTATAGACCTGCCATTTTGTAAGGAATGCTAAGTGAGTTGAACGAAATACAAAGTAAGAAATAACATGAAAGAATTCCTATTCAAGTGCATCCCATCATGGAAACTTAAACTTTTTTAAAAAGGCATGTATTTACATTGGTCATTCTTACCTATCTTTGGATTTATTGTCTATACATATCTAAAAGCTTCAAATTGAAAGAATTGATTACTTTGTAATGCTTCTAAACTTAATCAACACAAACATTTCTCTTATTACGTGATAGAACAGTTGCATTTCATTCTCAACTGTCAAGATTACCTTTTTCAAAATCTATATGAAAAGCACAATAGAAAGCATTTGTTTGCAACTATAATAAAAGTTGGCTTTAGTTATGATTTTTTTTTTGTCATCAAAGAACTACATCTAGCCAGGAAAATGCCACAGTCTCACATCACCGTTTAAAGGCAATATCTAAGACCACAAAATTCCTAGCTAAGGTTCCAGCAAAAAGAAAACAAATCATTTAAGAAATTTTCTTTCCTCACTAAGCTTGTCATTGTCTTTTGAAAATACAACAAAATGGATATATCTACTTGTTTTGAAGTTTAATTTAGTTTTAAATTATTTTGTTACTACACTATCATAATCATAACATGAGAGAAAATTCAACACAATTGTTTACTAATCTTTCTTAACGAGGACTAGGTTCTTTAGTTGATAGCTGTAAAATTATTCTCCCTTTCTCTTGTTTTAGGGTTAATGCCTTTTTACTTGTTAGAACTTGTTCTGTTCGTATGGCAATTCCTTATAATTG